GCCACCTAAATCACACAAGTGTCCACCAAGAAAGTTGAAGAAAAGAAGAAAAAGAAAAATTAACCGTAGACAATTTAAAGAGAAAACGGAGTAATTAAGATGGAGGCTTCCTCCTTTCACAGAGTGCAAAAAAGTGAAAAGGAAACATGTAAAAGGTATAGGGCATATAATACGTTAAGCTGGATTTGGTGTAAGGGTAAGAGAGAAAGCATTCATGGAAACCCCACTTTTGTCCTCCACAGACTACATTAATTCTTAAAGACCCTATCTTTTTAAAAGCCATATAAGCGACAAATTCTATACTTATGCTTAAGGGTTTTAATTAAAGTAGACAAGGTAATGATCTTTTAGCGATTCTAAAGTAGAAACATCTTTAAGGTTTTAAAGAAGAGATGCTTATCTATCTTTTTCTTAATACTTTTATTTTTAATCCTTAAATATAATTATATTTTTTGAACCCATATACCGCAACCTTTTCTTGCTTTCCAAAGATGAGAATGTTGGGTTACGAAAATCAAAAAAGTTAAGTTATTCTTTTACAAAATGCTTCACACAAAGCATAAAAAGTAGTGCTCTTTTGATATATCTTAGTGAAGATTTTACTTTTTTCTTCCGAAATAAAAAAGTTGCTTCTACTTTGCACAATCCTTACGCTATGGATCATACTTTAATCAATACTGTTAAACTCAGTTGAAAATTTGATTCAATTTTACATAATATGATCGATGCATTATGATATATTTACTTTTTACCTTTTTGGCACTGCACATAATTAGAATATCATGTACGTGAGAATGGATGAATAGATATTAATTATTAAATCTGATAAAAAAAAAGCTTTTAAAAGAATTTATGCAAAATTTATAAAAATAATTTATAAATTTTGTAATTTTTTATTTCAACAAGCCTTCTAATATAATTTATTAATTTTTTAAAAATATTTTAATAAATTTTATAATTAAATTTATGCCATAAAATTTTATATAATAAAAAATTATTTAATAAATACTTGATTAAATGGCTTACCTAAACATGCTCATAGTTAATATTTAAACATGAAAATCATTTTTTTCTTAAAAAATCATGTAAGTTTTTTGAGTGATTATATGATTTTAAATAACTTTTTTTTATCATCCAGTGTGGTTGTATGATTTAAATTTATTTCTCTCACTTTTACTGTGGAATAAAAATAGTCCTCTTGCTAGGTATAAAATCAAATTATATTGTTATAAATTACCCATTTTATAAATTTTTCCACAAATATTTTTGTACATAATTTTATTTTGAAACTCGTACCTATAGTTAAAATTTTATAGTATAAATTATATTTATAAAATTTTAAATAAATTTAAAATCATTTAATATTTAATTAATATATATTAATTAAATATAATATATTTTTAAAAATATATAAATAAAATATATTTGATTATACTTTAATAATTAAATAATTGACATAACTTATAATAATATATTTAATATAATTGCTACGTAAGTTACACAAATTTTTATATTAATACTAATTTTATATAAAGTATAGTTTTTATTAATTTATAAGTATATATTATCCATGTTAAAATTTTGTCAAAATTTAATAATTATAAAACTATAATTAATTAGTCTTTACTTTTATATATTTAAAAATATATACTATATTAATTTTAACTTACATAAATAAAAAATTAAATAATTTTGAGAAGAGTTAACTTTGTTTTATAAAATATTAAAAATTCATATTTTGAATAAAAAAACAAGTCTAGACGAATAAATTTTTTCTAGCCATATGTAAGCAAGTTTAGAGTAATACATTCTTCACCCATCAAGGGACCAACCCACGTATCTTGCTATTTATATTAAATTAACTTGCTATAGTATATTTAATAACTCAAATTGTAATTCTTTCTTCATAAGAAAAATAAGGTTCGATTTCTTTTATTCCTATAATGTGGTATATACATAATTTTCGTTTTTTTAATAATTTTTGAATTAATTAAGTTCCTTTAATTTTAAAATCGTGCAAGTTTAGTCTTTTTTTAATTGTTGATTTTCTTCTATCTAAAATACTCAAATACCTATTATTTTTTACTCAAAATTTTAATAAATTAAATTATTAAATCATTTTAAAGTTTTTTTTCTCCAAAACACATGATATTTAAATATCAAATTTTAATTAGAATGTAAAAAAATTATTTTAAAAAATTCTTTAAATCCAAATCTCACATCTTAAAAATTTTCAAATTTTGTTAAAATATTACTATTTTTTTCAATTTTAAATGTTTAAAAATATTTTATATAACAAATTTATCATAGATTTCTAAAATATTTAGAAAAAAGTAATAATTTGAACATTTTACGGAGAATAAAATCAATGACGAGACGGAATTTGCACAATTTAAAAAGTATGACTTAATTAACAAAAAAAAAATGGAAACCGAAACTGTACACAAACTGGAATTAAAGGAATTAAAAATAAAAATAAATCAAAACTTAAGAGGTAATAGCAAGTTAGTAATATTTTTTCTTATCTACTAAAAAATGTTTGATATTATAAAATTTGTATTTTCAATAATTTTTTTCGAATTAGGCCTTTAAAAATAATATCAGTACTTTCTAATACTGTTTATTAATTTATTTTTATTAATATTGAATAGTATTTTCTCTATTCTAATTTTAAAATGTTACAATTAAGATTGTTTGTCGTTTATTGTATACTACTTTAATATTTTCTGAAATAATCAACAAAAATTGTTTTAGAATTTTTTTTTTGCTATTTTTATTTTTTTAATATTAATAATTTTAGAATGTTGTTTGTTAAAATTAAAGCATCATTATTTTATGACAATAATTGTAATATACTCCTACATTATTAGTTTAGTTTACTCCTATGTTGTAAAACTATTCTCATTCCCATTTTAGTAGTTATTCTCATTAAGTCACCTGGTCTTTCTTGTATTAATTATTTAATTTTATTTTTGATTAAATCTTATTCTATTTAATTATTATTTTTTAATTTTAATGTAATCAGAATTTTAATATATTATATCAAATTGAATATATTTTTTTAAAATGATCTAAATTATAAAGTTGATGGATCTTAACTACTCTTAATTTGAATATAATTTTTAAAATTTGATATATCATTAATTTAATGGCTTAATTAGTTATTGTTAAAAAATAGGTATTAAACAAATAATTAGAGTTATAAGCCACTAAATATGTAAATTAACTGGTAAAAGTTATTTTAATATAACTTATGATCTCAAGTTCAAGTTTCAATAAATGTAACTCTTATAATTAAAATAAATAAATAAAGCAATAAAAATTGACTTGCAAGCCATAGTTAGCATTCATCTTAAGTTTATAATTCCACTGTAATTAGGTCAACGATAAACAGTGGCTATCATAGGTGAGATGGATAGTGTCATCATTATTGTTAGAAAACTATATTGATAAAATAATATTTTTATATTCACATATAAAATTCATTAGTATAAAATGATTAAAATTTTGTATCAAAAACTAAAAATATAAAACTACTAATTTTCCCCCTTATTAACGGAAAATGAAATAAACAAAATTATATAATACTTATTTAAAACATGGTAGATGTTGTGACACTTTTCAGTTGTTATATTCAAGTTAGCATATAGAACTTTCAAAAATATCATTCATTTAATTTCTTCTGCACATAATATATACAATTGGTAAGATAAGTATTTGTAAAAGGTAAAATTAAAAAGTAAAATAAAAATTTCTTAGAAGTTATAGCATTTAATAACATTTATAAGTTAAGATAAGTTTATTTTATTTTTTAACAAGTATTTATTTTATAAAAAAAAAAAACTCAAACTAGTTTGATACATGATTGATTTCATCTAGCGCTGCTTTCAAATCAAAGAGGAAACTATCTTTTAATAAACTCTTACTCGATTAACTTTTTGAGGCTAGAAAGGACTCCAACTTATCCCAAGTTGGAAGCATGCTGATTGTGCTTTTTCCTTTCTTACCATACACTTATTTGATTCATTCCAAGAAACACAAACCGGTAGGCCCCATGCATGCCTCTAACACAAATTTATAGTATATAGAAAGTGGAGTCATTATTTTGTGAGACTAATAACGCGTATGATGATGGAAGAAAGTGATAGACCTGTATCACTCACACTTAATGGTATAAATAGTTACAATGTAACTAACAATCATGAAGTGATAATTACCAACCACAGTTTAGGTCCTAGGCATTTCTTACTTGAATATTGAATCACAAAAGGAAAACACGCTTTATCTTACGTTTCTTGTGCTACAAAAATTTATTCCATGATTAAGAAAAGGAAATATATGATAGAATATCACAGAGTGATACAATCACATGTATATAGGCTAGCACCACTACAGTCATACGCTCCTGGGTCAAACACTTAAGCTCGCTTAGTGACTAAGATTATAATTCATTTTGTTGTGAATGTAAAATCAAATCAATTGAAAATTTATTACAACAATAAATATTACGCTAGCTTTAAGTATTCTTTTAAAAATGTTACAAGATTATGAAAATGTTTGACGGTATCAAATGATCTAAACTAAACTCGTATTGTTGGAGGACGCGCTAGCGTGAAGAGATGATAAGCTAAATTGCAAGTAAAAGTATATGGCTATGATTCCAAAAGATCAAGTTCCAACAGTAGCTTAGAGCCACTTAATCTAAAAGTTTTGTACTTCAAATTTATGCTTTTAGGAATGGATTTTGAAAAAAAAATATTCATTTTTTATTTTTTCAATACTCACTTTCTTCCTCTCACTTATTTTACACCCCATTACCGAGTGTGAACCTTTGAAGATTTAAACTTACATGAATTAACAGGACAAAGTTAAATTGATGAAAAGTCGTCCCAAATTCCTGTAACAGATAGTTGGATATATTTGGTAATATACATATGTAGTTACATAATAAAATCAAGGGGCACGCAATTTCTCTCACCCTAGCCCTAGAAAATGCCTAATTAGAATACAAACACATGATGAATAAAGAGAATTAAAAGAAGCCTAAATTAAAAAAAAAAAAAAAAAAAAAAAAAAGAGTAAGTGTTCTTGAAATTCTTCTCACAATTCCTGAATGTTGAAGATAACCTTTCTGTCTACGGATTCAAGAAGGCCAATGTCATCCACCGACCGATCCTCATCGTTTTCATCATCAATGGAAATATTCAAATCCAAAGAAAGAAAAGGGCTTGTCTCCTCCAAAGTAGCAACCTCGTCATTCTTTTCTCCTTCAGTCAACGATTTTTGTTTGACCGAAGGAGAACAAGCCCTTGACCTTGAACTGAAACTCTCGCAGCTTAGAATGATGATAGCGTCACAAAGTGCAACCTCTTCACCATTTGAACCCTTAATTCTTCCTCTCTCAATGGCCCTTTTGAAACCAACATGAGAACAATAATCTGCTTGCTCAATATCTTCAACTAGAAACACCCTATGAGGATTATTACAAATTGCATCAGCGAACTTCTCAATGTAACTGCAACTTGTTTCTTCTCTTGATCTTTTGTTCCGACAATAATCCTCAGTTGAATCTGCTCTTGTTGACGAAAAACTGCTCAGTGCTATGGAAACGACGTCGTTTTGGGACCCAAAAACAAGCCGAGCCAATTCTCTTGCTATTTTCTCTTTGGCTTTCACATCAACACCTTGGAAAAACAACCACGTTTCTTCTTTTATCTCGTTGCTTCTCACTTTCCCTTTTCTTCTTACCGTGCCAGAACGGCATTGCAACACGGTGCTTGCAATTTCTGGCACTATATCTTTCTGCCATGGCACCTTTTTCTCCAAAGCATTGCACATAGTTTTCAAGTTCTCTGAGTTGAGCTCTTTGAACCTGCTCACGTGATCTGTTTCCATGATGTCACTAGAAGAAGCGGAGTTAGGGTTGGAACTTGGATTCGATGATGAGAGTGGTTGTGGTTGCTTAGTGTCCTTGTTCTCTGGGACGTACACTCGCAAAGTGGGTTCATTAGGGTGGCTACCATTGTTAGAGATCCAGAAATGGTGGTTGTACAGTGACTCTTTTGGTGATGCCACTGGCCACTCATGATGGGTTTGGTGCAAATTAGGGTGTTGTTGTTCGTATGAGAAGCCAGAAGTTGATGAAGAAGGTGATACTGAGGATAATGTGAGGGTTTTGTCTGAAGGATAAGGTTGATTTTGAATTGAACTGCACATAGAGTTCCACTTTTTGCATAGCTCTCCTACTGGGACGCAATTCTGTTTGAATATACAAAAAAAGTTAATTTTCATTTCATTTGATACGAATATACTATATATATATATTATACACTATACATACAAATATAGAGGAGTAAATTGTGACATAAATGTGTATAACATAACATATAATGGATGATAATATTTCATAATAATTAATAAAATTGACAATAAGAAAAGACAACATTATTGTTTAATGACGTCATTTTTTTTTTATCGGGAAAGAGATAAGAAACGGAGACGTGTCATTTCGATCCAAATGTAATATAATATGAATGTAACTTAGAAAGATGAATGTGATAATGAAGACCTGATCATTATAGGTGATTCCTTTATTCTCATTTTTGTACTGTTGGAGCCATGCAGGAAGGGTTGAAGTTGAGGAATCACTATTACAAGCACTGCTTTGCAAGCTTCGAACTTCGGTCTCAATCTTGGTGGAAGGTTCCGCGAAGCATGCTGGTTGTTTCTGATCATCTCCCACTCCTTCGAGTAATAGCCAGCTAGTTCTATTGTCAGCTTTCTTGTTGGTGGGCTGGTTTTGTATCTCACTGTGGAAAAAGATAAAATGATAAGAGTATCAATTACTGGCTTCATTTATTTTAGGTCATGTTCCACCTTCAAAGCCAGTCAGAATAGTGATCATAAAATGGAAAAGGGGTCCAAAAGAGAAACTGATTATCACTGTTAATTGAATGAAAGAAAAAGAAAAAAAAAAACTGTGTCCTAGTTAGTTCTAATCAACAAAGAAAGTAACACTATAATGACTGACATGTTGCTCATTTCAGAGTATACACTTTTAACCAAATTTTTTTTGTCACTATATTTTTTTTCATCTGATATACAGTAATAACTAGTTGAGAAAACAAGTGGGAAAGCAAGAAGTTTAAAAAAAGAAAAAAAACCAGTTTTTCCCTGTTTTGTTTAGCATGAATTTCTTCCAACCCAACTTTTCCTTTCAAGGTTAACCTTTAAAAAGCAAAAGACAACTCCATTTTTCTTTTTTCTTTTTTCTTTTTTTTTCGTTGTCCTTTCCTTTTGCGATGCCCGTTTTCAGCTAATCAACCATTGATCCAAAGAAGGAATAGTTTTGGAGATTGGATAGTAAAGATTGATTCAAAGCCATACAATAACAATTATATCCAACTTTACCAAAACTGCTTTACCTGTCAGTGATGAGACTCAAGCGCAAGCTTCCTGCAGGGATAGTAATAGGATGAAGACCCCAAATAGTTTCCAATGATGGCTGGCCATTTTTGCATCTCATGTAAGCTTGAAAAGTGGCAACACCCATCATCCAAAACCTTCCACCATTCTCTCCAACACCACTCACCAGCTTCCCGATCTCCATTACCATGTGATCCACAGGACAATAACACGCTCTCCCTTGGGATCCCCGGGCCCTATGATCAAACACCCACTTAAGATCTCCCAAATACAAAACATACCCTTTGTTATGAGAGGTTCCCTTTGCAAGACCCTTTAGCTCTTCAACCTTTTGCTCAACCTCCAATCTCGAAACATGGCCAAAAGAAGAAAGAGAAAGAGATATAAACTTAACTCCCCTAAGACACTCACCAACATCCCCTTTATCAACCTTTTCCATCACACCCTTGACTACACCCTCGAGACTAATCGCACACTCTCCCACAATCACAATACTCCTCCTTCTTTGATTCCCCAAATTATCTATAACACTAGCAATATCCTCACCCCTAATCTGATCCAACACCAACCCTTTGTTGGATACGTTCTCTCCACCTTGATGATGAGAGAGAGTGAGGTTACTATTATTCTCCTTCCCCTTATTATTATTATTATTACTATTACTATTACTATTACTATTATTATTCTGAGAGCATATTTCCAAAGACACGGTTTGTTCAACGTTGCTTTTCACTTGAGTACTAGAAAAACCAGCCTCTCTCATGACTCTACTAACACTAGGATCATCCAAGATGGAAATAATGAGTTGCTCCAGTTCAATCTTCACTGCCAAAAGAGGTTGTTGCTGATTCTCGATGGATCCACGTCGTTGGTGAGCTTGAGCACGTTTGAAGGCAGCGACCAAAGCGTTTGAAATAGAAGGACATGGCTGAGAGTGGTGGTAGTGAGAGCCTTGCAACATGGGACTCGAAGAAGTTGAAGCTGGTAAGCGATTCAGCGCAACGTTGAAGCAAAGCTCCAAGGCCTTGCACTGAAGAGGGTGAGAATTGGATTGAAGACACGCGTTTCTAAGAAGCCCGTTTGTGACGGCGAGCATGGTGTTTGCCACGTGGAGGGGTGTGACTTGCGCGTGGCCACGACGCTTCGCGAGTGTCACTGCTTGTTTCACTATGCTTGCAGCCTCTGGGGTTAGACCTTGTTGCACGGCGCAGCTTCCTGTTCTCATGTTGGAGGATGCTAAAAGGAAGAGTGAAAAGGAAAGTATAAGATTAGTGGTGAGTTTGATCAAGGTGTTGTTGGCATCATGGTGTTAATAATTTGTAGGAGTAGGGTGGAAACTAGGTTTTGAGGGGTATATAGATAGAGAATGTGAAGATGCTAATTAGTGCCAAGGAACTTGTTGGTTAATTTTGTACACTTTGAGAGGGTGTGGAATATTGAGTGAAAAATGAGATGGTGGATTGGTCTAAAAGACTATGTAGGTAGGTTGAAGGGAGAGATAAGAAAACGAGAAAGGGAGGGGATGAAGAAGAGGAGGATATCAAATTTATGGGGTGTGTGGGCTGTGCTTTTCTTGTGGGTGAGGTAAATTTGGGGTCCAAAGTCGATTTTGTTGTAGAAAGTGGATTGCATGTGCTGACAAGCAGGACTAATGCACCAGTATCAAAGGCAACTCAGCTTTGCTCTCTCTCTCTCTCTCTCTCTCTCATACGCACACATATACACCAAATTTCGTAAATAAGTTTCGGTATCTGTAAGTGGGGGCACTTTCTCTTTTATGCATAGGTTAACTACTCATAATATTTTTTCTTCTTTTCGAGAGGGAGGAAAATTAAGCCACGGAAGGTACCAATAAATTTTGAATCTTGATGAGTCTCTAAGCACGCATGTAAACTATGCTTGGTACATATATATTGGTCTTTAATTACCATAATGGTATTGGTAGACATTCTTATATTTTTAGAAAAAAAATAAGAATTGGAAAGAGAGAAATAATAGATTTAATAAGTAGTATAATTTAATTTAAAAAAAGAATTAACGAGAGATAAATGTGTTAAATAAATAATAATATTAGTAAAGTGTTTGTAAATTAGAATGATAAAATGCTCTATTTTTTTAGAAGCGGAGTGTCATCAACAACTTAAAGAGTAAAGGTATGATTATATAAGAAGATTGATTAAATATTTATTTAATAAAAAAACTATAACATGAATTTAAGAATTTGTCTAAATTATTCAATAAAATGATTTATAACAAAGCTATGACATTACATTGAAATTATATTAATTTTACTTAAAATAGAGTTATTTATTTTATAAAATAATGTAAATAAATATAAAATTTATTAAAATATATGAAAAATCATTAACTCTTCACAATTTATTCCAAAAGGGTGTTTAAATGCAGAATTAAAGAAGAAGAAAAAGATGAGGCTCCTTCAATGGTAATTTTTGGTATGAGGGGGAGAGAGAGAGAGGAAACATCTTAGCATGAGAGTCTGCCAAAATCGAGGACCTGAAAAGAGAATGGGGTCTATACTCTTATATGTGGGCGAAGGAATCGGGAACTGTGTACGATTTTCTTCCGAACCCAAAGACAATGGAATAAAGTGTTAAGAGTCTCTTCTCTTCCTTATTTTTTATACATTAAAACATAAAATGCTACTAAACTAACTATTGACGCCTTTGAGAGCGCATCATTCGGCATGGGGATCAAAACCAACATTCCCTTCCCCGCCTGTGTTACTCCCACTCACTCTCTCTCTCCATTTATTTCATAAAGTTCATTTCTTTTGCCCCTTAATATTTCATTAACATAAATACAATGTACACGCATAGTCATCAGTTTGATCAGTACACAGCTTTCAAACTTGCATATTTATATCATTCAAATTTTTTATACAGATTAAATTTTTATTAAATTAATTAATTTTATAAAAATAAATTTATTAAGTACTTAATTATATTATTTTATTTCAACAAATAACATATTTTTAAAATATAAATAAATATAAAATTTTAGATGATATAATTACAAATGTCTAAATTGTATGAAATTTGACATATATATCAAGAAAATAATAAATAATTAAATGGTTGAATTAATAATTTTAAATTTTATAAAAAATTATTGTTCTATAGGATGGTTAGATGGCTCCTCACTTGTTTAGTGTGATAAAAAGTATTTGATGATCTTGCATATATTCTAATAGTGTTTTCACACCTTAACACCTAAATTAGAAAGGTGATTTCAAGTTATAATATGAATTAGGATAGAGATAATATCTGAAAGATTTATTCTTTATACTAGTTCAGTAATTTTATTATTTAGTGTACCTCTCACAGGTTATTAAAGGTGAGATGTCATTATGTAATGACACACAACAACACGCCAAATAAAACTAGTGTTATAATGCATTTGTATAGTCGTGTGTAACAATTTAGTTACCCTAATTATGATGTGCAAAAAGTAATTTAGGTAATTGTGATATAAGGTGGTGTGATATTACTAATGGTGTATTTCAAGTCATTAAAACATATTTAAGATGCTTAACTGTGATTATTAATTATTTAAGTTTGATGTTTAATATCATATATATATATATATATATATATATATATATATATATAAATGAAACTCTTATAAAACGTGGAAATTTAAAGTATATTTTAATAAAAATATTTTTAGAATAATTTTAGAAACATTTTGAGTGTAAGTATTAAATAGATCTATAAAAAAAATTATAATTCCACCTATATAATTAATTTTTATATTTAAATATCATAACTGATCTTAAAACCGTTATTTAAAAGAAGATTTTACTAAATCACTACCCCTAACTTAATGAATTGATCTCACTGTTAAAATGTACCCCAAAAAAAGCAGAAGAAAGAACAGGACATTGAATAAGTGTCGGTAAAGAATGAATAAAGAGGTAGATGTGCGTAACGAGGTAAACACCCACTTTGCGTTTTAATGGTGCAAAAGCAAAAGTTCATTTAAGTTTATGTGGCAATCGATTTCATTAAACGCCACAACATGTCTGTCAAAAATGGAATGCTACCTAAATATGATAGCAATGTTTAACTCCACTTTATTAAACCAACATGCTTTTGAACTCTCAAATCCAAAACAGATCGACGACCACTTAAAAGTTAAATTTGTATATTTTTATCTTCGGTTTAAAATTATTTCCATTTATTATTGAGTAAAATTAATGTATAACCTTCCACCAGAAAATTAATATCTTTGAAAACAAAATATCGGGTGATGAACTATGTATGATTAATTCCTTGGCTTTAATTCTCAAATATTAATGAAAATAAAGATCAGATTTACATAAAATGAAAAAAAAAATCAATTGTATTAATGAGATATGATGCTTATATTTGAATTATACTCACCCCAGATCATCAAATGTCAAAAAATTGAACATCGAAATTTTTTCTCTTGAATGCTACCTTGGCATCATTAATAGCTTACACGCTTGGTTATTCTGCTACTGCTGCATGGTTGACGGATATGCATATGCTACTGAGGTTTAATTGCATTGATTTAGATTCTTAGTTAGTGTCAGTTTCATTCACTTCCAATCATGCGGACAAAAAATGCTTTAATATCATTGTTCATTCACGAGTGAATTCAATCTGATGAAGATAACTGGAGAGAGATCAATTATAGAATGAGACTAGTATCATATATATTCTGTGCGTATTTAAGAGGGGAGGCTGAGTATATTTGTAACTTCAGGAATGTACATTAATACAAGGGAAATAGCGAAAATACAAATTTTCTGATTATACCAAATAATAATCCATTCTATTCATGATAATTACGCTAACATTCTTTCTCAAACTCAAGTGGATGCCAAGGAAGAGCATTGAAAACTAGAAATGGAAGCATCTGGTAGTTGAGTGGGTGAAGATATGATATATCAACTGACTAGTCAAGGGCTCGATGGAGTGACCCATAAAAAATATGGGGATTAATAATAATAATAAATTTTAATGTGTTTAGAGCATTTATAAAAGATATCTAATAAAAAAATTGTTGTATATCCTAAATTTATACTATATTTTAAAAATATTTATGATATTAAATAGTCAAATTAGTGATTATATATTAAAAAAGATATTTATTTATTAATATGTATAAATAGTAAACCTGTCATTAATATAATTTTTATATTATACAATAATGTAAAAAGAATTAATAATTTGTAAATTTAAAAATAGATATTATTTTTTATAATTAGAAGAATACTAATAATTATTATTATTTTTTAATAAAAAGGATCAAACTTGAGTAGCATTATTGTTGTCACTGGTGGAATGGAGAAATAAGTGAGTGAGTTGCATTCAATTCAAAGGGTCTTGACAAATTTTCTTCTTGTAAAGCAATAATTAAGAGAATCAACAGAAAAGTGCAACAGCAGTAGTTCATTAATAATGGTCCAAAGGGTTTATTAACCCAATTCATTTCTAAATAAATGAAACTCACAAAATTAGGAGATAGTCTACAGAAAATTAGAGACCATGAAAAATGTACTAATTTTAATATAGCAAATAATGCAAATTAAGAACAGCATAGTGTGTCTGGAGTGAGGGGCATCTGTAAACTAACTAAATGAACAGTATAGGAGATAAGGATGGCAATATTCCTTGAATCTTGGTGGTTGGGATTTTAGTGGGGACTATTTCATTTCGAACCTTAAGTTTGGGAAATTTTTCCCTCCTGGGATGGGAATGAGAACAAAGATCATACTTTTTGCCTCGTGTAGATTTCTTACAGTGAAAATATTTTTTTATTTTACTGAAATTTTTTAATTTAAAGATTGTGAAATCGGCAAGTAGTCTCATGTGATCACTTAGAAAAAATGTGTGAATTTATATCCTTTAATGTTGACTATTTAAATAAAATCTCATAATTAATCTATATTATTCTCATTCTCCTAATAACTAAGTGTTCACTTTTGATATGTTTCTTATGTGTATATAAATGATCTTTAATTTTTCTTTAATAATTAATATATAAATTTATTTTAGTACTTTGTTTAACATAATTTAGTGTTTTCATCTTCATTTTATAATTTTAACTTTGTTAAAGATGCTTGAACTTCATACTTTTTTTTTTTTTAAGTTCATCTATTTATTTATTTTACAATGTTAGGGACCTATGAGAATTTGTGGGGGATCGTGAAATGGGGATAGGGGGACAAAATTATCTTAAGGCAAAGAAAGGGAATGGAGATATGAGGAATATGACTTTCAAGCTGAACTTCATGTCGTGATGATCACGACATGGGAATAGAAAGGAATTTATATATTTTATTCAGTACGTTATTTA